TCGAAAAACGAATCTCTTCTTCATGTACTTTCATTCGAAATGAAGGTCCCCCTAACAATGTTATCTCAGGGGATTCATCTAAACCAAGTTTCTCTTCGTATCTACTATAGCAGAGATCTTGTAAGTAGTTGCGTTATCTAGATTGCCCTGACATAACAAGCAAATATCGTAAAATAAGGTCAAAACACTTTGAAACGGCAGGAGGAGACTGTGATGACAATGGAGTCAACAACATATTGGTCATCATATTTACGATAAAAAAGATTGTGCACACTTAAAAGTGGGTTTCGAGACTAGCGGCAAATCTAATCTAAGAGCAGCGTTAATTAGCATAGTTCGTTTAAGGTGATGAAGGATTGGTACCTGAATTTTGCCACAATCCGATAAGTAGGCCCTAAGCTTCCATTCAATATCGCACAGCTTTACTTCCCAAAATTAATTCTCATTTCGGCTAGAATAGACTGCAATTTCCGCCTCGCCTCAAATGATCTCAACTTTCCAACCAGAGGGACTCGAACCCAGGTTGTAGGAGTGCAGCGTATGGTCTCGACAAGCTGCCAGGGGTCTACTTGGGTCGCGGGGCACAAGTCAATTTCAAGGAAGCCTAGGCCTCTGCCGTTGCACATTTGCGTGGTGGGATTGTCTATAAAGCTAAGCTGTATTTGTTATTACTGTCGATTGCGTTACTTAGTTTCCCAATAAAAAAATGTTTTTCAGACTACTCGAGGACCTTACATAAGAGTTATATTCATCCAATTTAGATTAAGGTGATGAAGGATTAATAATGCAGTCTTAGGCCCAGAGACGCGATTGAGAAGGTAGGCATACTTATTCATCTGAAGATATGAAGACCAAGATGTTGTGGCCTCTGGTATGGTCGCAGTCTCCTTTCGATATATAGAAATGGGTTGACCTCGTGGTCGCAACTTGTTCCTGTTGTCAGGCAGACTTAGTAGAAGACACCTAGTACGAAGTCGTCTGCCATAATAGTTGTCATGATTCCCAGCATCAGACTTCGGACTAGCTGTGTTCTACTAAGTCGCCCTGACAACAGGACCAAGTTGCGACAACGAGGTCAACCCATTTCTATACTTATTTTTTGTTGCACAAGTAGGTTTTTCGAGACTACCAGTAGATCAGATATAAAGGCTATATTCACCCAACTTCAACTTTTGAGGTTTGCGAAGGACTGGTAGTTGAATTCGTCCACAATCAGGTTAGTAAGCCTCATGGTTCCATTTGAGTCGACATAGCTTTGCTTGCTAAAATGTTTTCTCATCCAGTTGATTTAATAATTCCCGTCTTACCCAGTTGCCTCTTTATCTCATAATCTTTCAGTTTTCTTTAAAGTTTTTGTAATTGGCAAAAATCCAGTACCTTTTGGAAAGCATGGCCAAGTGGGAAAATTCAACTACTTGTCCTTCATCAGCCTAAACTAAGTAGGTTGGGAATATCTTATATAGTTGACTTACTGGAAGTCTGAGAACCCTAACTACAAACTAAATGTAGTAGAAAGTAGTATAACCAAACATTTATATGTATCACAGTCTTTTAAATCTTGCGTCTGGGTCCAGGATTATTTCTGTATCAAACACGATCACAAATCTCGCAATTGTCGCCACACAAAGTGGCCCTTTGCCATGGCGATGCATCGACGGCCAAGCATTGTGAAGACATATAATCACTTGAAGAAGAACTGTGTTTCGAAGAATTTTTGTGTGATATATTTTGACATGACTTTCCATTTCAAAGGAGAACTTGATCGGAAGGAATTCGTGTTGTGGTTTCATCGGATATCGAAGTAGGATTGAAGAGTAGGAAAGACAAGTGCTCTGCTCACTCCTTCAATCCTGATCAACCTGTGCCTAGCTTTTGTATGTACCGCAGTGACAGACAACATCAGACCAAGGATCCATACCTTACGAATTAGAGCAAAAAAATGTACCAATTGTCGAGCTTACTTCCATTTCGAGTAGATGTGTTGGATAAAGAGATTCGAAGGTCGGTTACACCAGAAGACGACGGTGGATTCCTCTTGGCCAGCTGTCGATTGGCTTTATTGGAACATTCATGCGGAAGCTGTTTCCGAGGCAATCTCCTTCGGTTCCGGTGAAATGGTGTCATATGACGGACATCGTCAGAGCGAGGTACCATCGTCACAACAAAATTCAAGCTAACGAGTCAAGAAAACTCACTGACCCGTCCCTGAATGCT